CCGTAAAGAGAAAGGTTTTCTCTTTCAAATAGAATAGAAATTAAGAAATTTCACCAAGAAGGAAGGAAGTTATGGTTTTTTAAAAATCTGGCGAACGAACTTTGTGACCCACCTAATTAAGATATAAGTCACTTTCGCACTTCTATGACTGGAATCGTCAGTTAAGAAAAAGAAATTGTAAGAGAGGAGTTATATTTCTTGGATTGAAAAATTCTTGGATTACTACATGCTTGAACTCCACCTGTTTGTGAAGGCTAGAATGTCTAAAAAAAAGTCGCAAGATTTGTTAAATCAAAAAAGAAACTGTTAAAAGACAAAATGACACTGGCGGTACGTGAATTCTCGCGCCGGAGGGTACAGTTTTGCACGTCCTCAGAAAAAATGTCCCGGAGCGTTTTCGAGATCTTTGCAAATTTATGACCATGATAAAAAGATGGTGGTCGCCAGATATTCTCATCCAAAGCTAACAAAGCTCTTTTGGCAATTTGCGCGAAACAGATCGGTAGCGAAAGATTTGCAAGCATGATTGGGAGAACAGCATGAAGTCATGGAAACGCAGTGCGAGGACGATTCTACTAAACACAACAACTCAGATTATCGCCGGGTCAGGCGGTCCGCAAACTCGTGCTTTTCTGCAAGCGGTCAGCAGAATTTTGGGACAAACCTTCAGCAGTTTTTAGCAGTTTCGGGCGTACGTCGAGAAAAGGTGAGACTCTATGTGGCAGAGGTGGCATCGATGGTTTGATTACCCAAATCTGGGGTACTTTCAATGGAAGGTACCCTGGACAGTGCGGACCGTGCGGCCCCCAACAACCTTGCATATTCTCGCGGAAAGTTCGCGGAATGCGGCCACTGCTCAGATAATCGCCGGAGGCAGGCGGTCCGCAAACTCGCGCTTTTCTGCAGGCGGTCAGCAGAATTTTGGGGCATGACCAAACCTTCAGCGGGCGGCACTTCCTTTACGGTCGCATATTCTGCCAGCGGGCAGCAATACAGCATTTTTTGCAAGCGCTCGGCAAATAATTTCCTTCAGCGAGCGCTGGCCAAACTTTCAGCAAGCGCTCGGACTCTTTTTAGGCATTTTCGGGCGTACGTCGAGCGCAGGTAAGACTCTGTATGGCAGAGGTGTCACCGTTGGTTTCATTACTCAAGTTTGAGGTACTTTCTCTCAGCGGAAAGTACCTGGGGGTTGCGCGGTCCTCCACAAAGGACCGTGCGGCCCTCGAAATTTTTGCATATTCTCGCGGAAAGTCCGCGAGAACGCGGCCACTGCGCAGCAGCTAATCCATAGAGAAACCGCGATTGTTCTTCAAGCATTCGTCTTCAATTTTGCCAACTTTCTTCCAAATTTCTGCAAACGGGCCACAAAAAATCAACGAACTATTTTTCCGGTACCCGCTTGCTCAAAATTCGCATGGCTGCCTGCCCCGGCGATTATCTGAGAAGAGGCCTATTGGATTTTGAAACGTGGCTAGTATCCGATGAAGGTGGCCGCAGATAAAGGGAGCGTATATGTGCAGTTGCTAGGTATGTTGATGAGTTTGCGGCTATTGCTGCACGAAACCCCAACAGGATTTTCTCAAATTCTTGTTTCTGTCAAACGCTTTTCTGCCATCAAATTTTGGCTTTCAATCGCCTGCGTAAACGATATTCGTTGCCGATGCGGCCTTCACGATCTGGCAGAACCTTATAGTTGATGAAGTTGGTGTGCTTGCAGACGTCACAAGTTAAATCGTCCGCTTTCGCCAGAGACTAACCAACGAGCCCATGTTCTAAGCAATAGCAATTTTTTGATGCTTCAGCTTTGGGTGAAAGCCGTGAGAAAAGCGATGGGGAGAGAAAGTTGGAATGAGAGGGTGCGCACGATATTCTTACAGAAAGCTGGAAGCGCTTTGAGACCACGGTTTTCATCGCTCGCTAGCAGTCAGCTTTCACACGGCCTGAATCATTACTTACGAAATCATTACAGAGCGTCAGCCGTCTGAATTTATGTTCTCATTTTGTTCCGTTTGAACTTTTTGTTCAAAAAAAAGGGAAGGGGAGGCGCTATTTCAGTGGTAGAATTCATCAAGAGCCCAGTAGATTTCGGAATTCACTGGGTTTACTCCGTAGGTTGTGGGTTCTCGAACTCACTGGGTAAGATTGGTATTCACAAGTGCTCCGCTGGGTTCGTTAGCCCATGACGTCAGCAACATGCCTCTCTAATCTGTGTACTATTTTCTCATTTCTCGACACGCACAAATTGCGTTAACCTAAAGGCGTCACCACGCTTGACACACTTTTCAAAGTTCTCTTTGACCTCGTAAGAAAGATATTAGCCACATTTTTTTGCCGACGCTGACATTTAGAATCTGCGTAGTTTGATTCAATTGTCATAATGCCAAATATAGCTAGAATTCATTCTATGGGTGCTTTTGCTGTGAATGAGAAATAAAGTTGTGCCTTTTTCAAACTCCTACTTTCAAACGAAATTTCATCATCAGCGAAAGGTGCATATCCGCAGAAAGCGCTCAAATCCTTTTGTCTATTTGTATTTTTTGTACAATGACGTCCTAATGGTAAGGGGAGTACGTTTTTGTTAGGTTACATAATTACCTTGATTACTACTTGTTCTCTTTCTAATGATTTTTACTCCACGTCAAGGAGCAAAAGAGTTCATTTTTTTGAAGTGCTTGCCTGCTGACTTGACCGGAATGGGGGCGAAAACTTTTCTATTAATTTGCGGAATAAACGAACATATACAACACACACACATATAGAAAACCAAATACATGAACACGAACGCAGGCAGACCTCTGCTTGCTATACGAGTCTCCCTTTGTAGCAGCAGCTGTATCAGAAATGTAAGGTAGTATGAGCAAATCGACAGGTGTATAGACTCTTTACAGCTTGACGCAAAAAATTTTTGATAAAAAACTTGTTTGCAGCTTTTCAGAGACTGCCAAATCGTGACCGACACTTAGTTCGCTAGTTAACATCTCGATGGGATATCTTATCAAAATTTATCCAACAAAATCAGTTATGAAGATTATGGAAAGTGTTCCAATGTATTATATATGTGTTGCTAGTAGTAACCATCTCTGCTTATAAGTCCACATAAGTAAGCAAAGGGACTGGATTCGCATGTAATCCACTGAGAAATTTGCGCTATGCTTGGGTTCGATAACCCAGCGCTCAGTGGGCATCGGAATTCACGAGAACTGGATAACTTGCTTTTTGAATGCCGGTATGCTTGACTTTTGGGTTTGCTAACTCAGATAATCGCCGGGGGCAGGCGACCATGCGAAATTTGAGCAAGCGGGCACCGGAAAAATAGTTCGCCGATTTTTTGCGGTGCGCTTGCGGAAATTTGGAATAATTTTGGCCATTTTATAGACGAAATCTTGGAGAATTATCGCGGCCTTTCTATGGATAAGTTGCGGCCCAGTGGCCGCATTCTCGCGGACTTTCCGCGAGAATATACAAATTTATTGGGGGCCGCGCAGTCTTTTATAAAGGACCGCACAGGCCGTAGGTGACTTTCGCTCAAAGAAAATACCTCAAACTTGAGTAATTAAACCATCGAAGAACCTCTGCCACATAGAGTCTCATCCTTTCTCGGCGTACGCCCGAAACTGCTCAAAAAGAGTCCGAGCGCCTGCTGAAAGTTTGACCAGCGCTCGCTGAAAGAGATTATTCGCCGAGCGCTTGCAGAAAATGTTGTATTGCTGCCCGCTGGCAGAAAGTGCGACCGTAAAGGAAGTGCCGCCCGCTGAAGGTTTTGCCACGCTCCAAAATTCTGCTGACCGCCTGCAGAAAAGCGCGAGTTTGCGGTCCGCCTGCCCCCGGTGATTATCTGAGAATCCGATTCGTTTGTGACGGTTTGTTGAATGCCGGTTGAGTGGCTCTTGGGTTTGGAACTCACTGGGTAGGCTCACCGCTGGGTTCCGGAACCCCTCTCTTCGTAAATAGGGATCTCGTGGGTTAAGTCTGCTTAATGGATTCCGAAACTCACTGGGTTCATTGATGAATACGGCCACAGATTCGGATAAGGCTAAAAGTTTGTAGATAGGGGCTGTTGTCATCCTTATCGCGAAAATCATATTTCTTGCATAGTAGGACTTTATTGAGGGCTCGCTGATGCTTACGGTCAGGGATCAAAATCTCAGACTTAAACTCTGCACAAAGGTATTATGTGACATGCTGATAACTTTTTCCGCACGAAAACGTCTCCTTGTAAGTTTTTGTGTTATTCGGCACGCTGACATGTAGATCATATCAAATTCACAAGGTAGTGCTTTTCTTGGGTTACCATGGGCTTACGCTGGTTGGGTCAAATTTTTACTAGGCCAAGCCTTGTGCAAATTCCTTGAATCTGCTCCAACCAGCGTAAGATCATGGTAACCCAAGAAAATGGCGCTACCTTATGAATTTGATATGATCTACATGTTCAGTGTCCTGAATCACAGCTCTAGACCAGATTCCAGCGAAATTTAGGACTACGAACTCCCTACCAAACACTAAGGAGAATTCCGAAAATTTTTTCGAGTATTCGAGTATCGAATCATATTCGAAAATTAAAAAATTCGAATTTTCGACTGTCGAATATTCAAGAATGATTAATTTCGAAAATTCGACTGTCGAATATTATTCGAAATCTCATACTTGGATATTCGAGTTCTGAATCTTTTGCATTCGAACTCGAATGATCAAATAGTTACTCGATTCGGTCCAAAAATTACCGTGCTTTACCGTAAGCATACAGGGAGAAGTTTCGTGCGGAAAAGTGTTGTATTCGTAATCATCATTTCTAATAACCCCTTTGTGCAGAGTTTCGGCAAGATTTGAGATTTTGAATTTTCAACCCGTAAACTATGTCTATTGTAACCCTTCAAAAAAGTCTTTATCATGCGAAACGACTATCATTGTGACCAGCGCCAAATAACCCCTTTGTACAAAGTTTTGACAAAATACGAGATCTTTCATTTTTGGGTTGCGTATTCTGAAATTGCAGCGAGGAGATGTTAGTTCGTTGCAAATGCACAATCTGTGCGGAGGAATTCGCTAGGACCGATATGACAGCCTTGCTTTGTGGGCATGTTTTCCATGCCAAGTGCATTCAAAGTTGGTTCGAGAAGGTAAAAATGTCTGATCACCCCTCCCTTTTCTAAACATTTTCTAATTTCAGCGCACGACTACACCCACTTGTCCATGTTGTGGAACTTCCACCGACAAAAATTTGATAGTACGTCGCCTCTTCTTTAATGCTTGCGATGATCAAGACGACGATGGACTTATGGAAATTTTCGAGAAGACAAAGTTTGCTCTCTTACGTGCTAAGGAGGAAATACAAGAACTCAAGAACGATAAGAAAGAAGTGGATGACAAGGTATGAGCAAGTCAGCTTAAGTCAAGATAGCGCGTAAGTGTGGACGCTATCAGCGTCTTCCTGATCAGGGCCCTCTTTTTCGTACTTCTTATTATCTGCTGCCGCACGCACAAGACGGAGTTACTGCACGCATTATCTATGTGCTCTAGACTCATCGCACGCAAGGATCGGACGTAACGGCGTCCCTTGCGTTTGGTAACTATTCTAGAGCTCATCTAACATTTTTTCAACTTTTCCACTTCATCGAATTTTAGCTCGCACTAGAACGCGGAAAAGTTTCATCATTAGAGGCTCAGAATTCTAGCCAAAATGGGTTAGTCCAACTTATCCTGGATTCACACATAGTAAAGGCAGTGTACTTGCAGGAAGTTGAATGAAGCAAAGAATACACAGGAGGAACTTTTAGAATTAATCCGTAGACGCGGGGAAGAACTGAAGGATCGTGAGGAATACGAGAGCGATCTTAGATCGTGTATTCAGGTTTGCAGCACATTGAATTTCAAGCAGTGTATCATATTTTTCAGATTATGGAAGAACAACTGAGGTACTCAAAGAAAAACGAGGACGACTCAAACCTTCTTGTCAAGGTTTGTAATGTCAAGCTTCAATGGGATATCAAACACTTTCATAGCTAGAGCTCAGATTCATCTAACCATCAAATCCAACTCAAAAAGATCCTTAAGCAATGTGGACAGATTTAATAAGCGTGTTGTACAACCCTTGCGGTGGAATTTCAACGAAGTATGCGATCTTGACCTTTTGGGCATCAGAGTACGTTTTTCCGTAGCCTCGTAACTCGGCGATTTTTGTACACTGGAGCCTAAAGCCCTGGCCATACCGCCAAAAAGAATCACCGTGATGCGATTTGTGCAATAGGGCAATGTTCATACGTCCTATTCATGCCTGCAAATCATGCATACCGGTCGTGCTAGCTGTCCGGCGCGACGGATCGCTGGCCGTGTTTTCCTCGGCCATACCTATAACAGCGATATCGCCGCAATTTGGCCGAAATCTTGCGATATCGCGTCGCTAGTTTGAAATCAGCGACGGGCGATAACGCTGGAATTGGATCTCTTCTTTAGAAGTTAATGAAATAGTTCTTTTCTCTTTCAACTTGTTTTGTGGAGGCGTTAAAATGTGATGCAGATTTCCTAATTTGCACTTTTTTGTGATGTAATGCGTGTCCCTTCTAAATCGTTTCAGTCGAAGTAGATATTTCTCATTGTTCGAAACTTATGATTGAATATCTATATCATCGTAGTATCTAGGTATCTAAAACGTGAAAACATCGTGAAAACATTAGCAACGTATGAAACCGCAGCTACAACTTGAGAAAACTGGCTTTGCATCCTATAGCTAATGAAAGCTGAACGATACGCGAGAAACTAATATGAACTGTTGGTGTTTAAGATATCGCTGTCGACAAAACGCAAAAAATCTGCAGATGTAGAGAAACCACGTTGACTACTGCTTTTGGACGCCAGAAGAAAAGTAGAACGAGTGCTGAGGTGTATGCTTTTACCTTGTCGCTGTACAGGTAGGTATGTCCAGAACAAACGACCAGCATCCGATAGTTGCGACTTCGTCGCACTGATCATGAAATTCCCTGGCGAAAGAATCGCGACGATGAAATCGCTGCACGCATGGCAGAGCTTAAGACATGCACCATTCGATGGCACAGTTCCTAGTAACTCTAATATATAAAAGCAAGCAAGCGAGTCTAACAGATACACGAGAAGTGAAGGCGAATTACGCACTTTCGTAAGTCCGTCGCAGTAAAATCACCATATCTCTGCAAGAAGACCTTGTATTTCTCAAAGACCACGAATTTCGTAAACGACGTGTCCGAAAACCTCTATAAGCGAAGTTTCCTTACAATCCAAGATCATCAGCATTTTTACCAAAATCTATGGGCGAGTTTAGAGCGTAGTAAGAAAAAAAAGAAATATCCTGAACAACCCGGAAAACTTGCTCGTAGAGGTTATCCGACCTGCTGATTACGAAAATCACATCTGCTTAGCAAGACAGCTCCATATTTTAGGGTTATGGTGAATAAAATTTAAAACGACATGATTTTCCAGAATTCACTAGCCCTTCCTATCTCCTTCTCCTTTGAAGGGACGCCAGTGATTACTTTTTAGCGCTTCATAATCTACAGAGGAACTATTATCAAAAGTTTTTGCTAGAATCTACTAGAAGCAATGCGCACTGCGTTACACCTTTGCGAAAAGACGTCCGCAGAAAGATTCAAGAATGCTGAAACTGGGAAATCAAGGACATGCTGCATATCGAAGATTTGCCCTGATGAGCTGGGCACAATGCTTTTTTCGGATTCAGAAGATATTCATTCCGAAGGAAGTTACGACGAGAGAGTTCAAAAACGCGTGACTTTTCCAGAATTCACTAACACTTCTATATTTTATGGAAGACAGTTTGCGTCTACTTACGCGCGATAATCTATAAGAACAGTATCACCGAATAGTGCGACAGTGCATTACATCCTTGCGAAAGGAATCTCCACAGATGAATTGAAAAAACTGGAAACGAATATCGGAGGCATCCTGTACGTCAAAAGATTTGCCTTGACGAGATGAACACAATGCTACTTCCTAATTCAGAATATATTTATTCTGAAGGAAGTTATCGCTGCGTATTTTGGACGTTCGCGTGATTCGCAGATCCTGGAATGTCGCAAAATTCCCGGTATATCGTAACTTTCGCGAAATTCCCGAAATTCCGCGAGGTTCACGGAATTTTTGCACATTCTGTGAGCGGTATTGTACCTTGAGAGCTGATTTTTAGAACAATGTTTAAGAGTGAGTTATCCATTACCATACTCCTACGGTATAACTTCTATGTATCACCAGCGAAAATTAATGGCAAAATTGTTATCAGCACACTCAACAATCCAATCAAACAAAAATTTGCGAAATTGAGCAAAAACTTATTGTCTACCGTTCTATCGTACCCTTATATATTGTGGCACTTCCATAAATTAGATGGTGCGTCTCGCCGAGCTGAATTGAACAGTAACCCCGGATTCAGAATATATCAATATTGAAGCGAGATGTGGAGATGCAACGCGGATTCCGACAGATTCCAGTGATATGCGGCGCACTGCGCTGCTGTCCGGCGGACTCCAGCGGAGTGCGGCGCACTCTGCTGCACTTCAGCGCATTCCGGCGACTTTTGACGACTTACCAGTGCGTCACCTCCGCATCGCGGAGGTTCGCACTGGCTCCCTATCCGTATGCCTTTCTCATGTTCGCATGAAGAATGCTTTGAACCTCACCACGCGATGCTGAGCATCACAAATGAATCGTAAACAACTATTCATTCATGAAGCGTCTCCAAGTAAGAACGGTAAATTTGAAAAAAACTTTGTTGCAGGGAAACAAATGCGAATTTGAACGGATTACTGAATTTATTTTACTTTGATATTCGTCATAAGGATAATAGTCACCTGGGCTACATTTCAGTGCCAAAAATCTTTTCAGTTTTTTCAAAAAAAAACCTTGCCAAATCGACTATCTACGTGTTCATCACTTTTTGGCGCTGTTTTCGCAAAGAAGCAAACTTTTTGAGCACTTCTTGGGCTAGAATTCATGGCGCGCAGAGTTACTTGTCGAACAAATCATAACTTTGCAAAAAGTCGAATTAGCAACTCAGTTTTGCGTGCCAAAAGGCGCGTGGATCCGTTTGACGCACAAATTTTGAGGGACCCGCTTATCGAACCGGCTCGTCCTTGTACATGGTGGGCCCACACGCTGGCACGGTATGTTATGCAAAATGCAGCCCGATAACCTAGTTGCAGCTTCCTCTATGAATTTCGTGACAGACAGATTTTCACACAGACACATAGACACACAAAAAACAGACGGCCTTAGCGCGTTATTATAGTAGGATTTTCCAGAAATTGGCAGAACAGCAGAGGATTTCAAAGAAAAACGAAAACGACTTAGAAAATCTCATCAAGGTTTATGACACCTTGGGTTTCAAGCAGTATGTTTTACTATTCAGAGTTTGGAAGAACAATTGAGGACCTTAAAGAAAAACCAGAACGACTCAAAACTTCTTATTAAGGACTCAAATCTTCATATTGAGGTTTGTAGCACACTGAGTTCCAAGCAGTATATTTTATTTTTCAGAATTTGGAAGAACAACTGAGGCTCTCAAAGAAAAACGAGGACGACTCAAAACTTCTTGTCAAGGTTTGTAGCATGTCGGATGTCAAGCAGTTTATCTTATTTCTCAGAATCTGGAACAAGAACTGAAGATCTCGAAGAAGAACGAGGACACTTTAGAACTTCGTATCAAGGTCAGTAGCCTCTTGGATTTCAGTGGTCATAACATCTTATTTCCAGAATATGGAACAACAACTGAGAACTTCAAATGAAAACGAGCACCTTATAGGCAATGTCGGGCAAGACGTGGTTTGTGAAGATTTGTTCTTACACCAGGGATTTAGTGATTGAGCCATTGCTCACTGCAAAGAAAGAAAATTAATGCCCTTCCGTATATTGGCCCGCGGCTGGGGTTCGTTAGATACCCAGCCGAGGTGCAAACACTTAGATGGACAAAGCAACGGAGTTGGCGTTTTCAATACACACTACTTCATAGTTGAAGAGGCAACTATAAGCGTGCGAGCCTTTTTGCATGAAGTGCGGGTGCCAATCACCAAATTAGTGCTTTTATCCTCCCAAAACTTCAGTGTTAATTTACCATCCTCGGGGGCTTTCGGCCCAAGTGAGCGTTCGAACCGGGATCGAATCGTACCACTGCAAATGCCCAGAAGTGTTGCGATTTCCATGGTGTAAAGAAGGCAGAGCCGCAGTTGAAGGCATAAATGAAACTCGTGATATTTTTGCACTGCAGGATGCATTCTAACGCTGAACCACCGATGTCTGCCTCTTGGGGTGTGCCAGCGCAATGTTGCAACACGCTTGCAAGTTTACCTTATTTTTGTCAGTCGACCCTAACTCGACCATTTGAAATGAGTGTTCGAAAGTGAAAATTTTTTTGAAGATTCAACAAAAAGAAGAAGAATTTCAAATGAAAGAAGGGCTTGAACAGAAAAAGAGAAGTAGAAACTTACATGGAGAATGTCGCAAGACATCCAGACTGAGAGGAGCCTCTGCATCCGTAGTAGTCTCACACCAGAGATCATCATTGGCTCCGCTCTCTCACAAACCTGATAAACCTGATAAACTGCGTAAGGTTGTTTCATACTGCCGCACTGACTGCAGCAGTCTGCAGCAGACTGCAGCTGACCACACTGACCGCAACGGCCGCACAGACGCTGCATGCTTTCGTAAAAGAGAAAACAATTGCGATTATGTCAAAACACTGTGATTTACGCCTAGGAAGTTCAAAGGTTCCAACTTACTCTCTTCAATGAAATTTTGGCGATTATTTTTCATTGGTATGCTTATATTTGTTCTGATTTTCCCTTTATTGCACATACCTGTTTTACTTTCGTTCATGTTGTTTTTTGGATCTAGGCATATATTGTTGTTAATTGTTTGAGCTACAACTATTTATTCCCTCCACCTTTACGGAAGAATACAGCGATCTGTGCGGCCCTTGCGGTCAGTGCGGTCATGCAGTCCTGCTGCAGTCAGTTGCAGTCAGCTGCGGTCAGTGCGGTCAGCTGCAGTCAGCTGCGGTCTGCTGCAGTCCGCTGCAGTCTGCTAGTGCGGCAGTCTGAAACAACCCGTATGTTTCGATTTCAGAATTCAAGGACTGGTTAAATAACTTTGGGGGCTAGTGGAGTAGTGTATGAGGCGTCACTATGACCAGATCGAACCCAGGTTTGATCCTGCCCCTTGGCCGACCAAGCCTTCTACCTTCCGGGGCGGTAAAATGTTGCCAGAGTAATGTAAGAGAATAAGAGCACTGACTCGCAAATTGGGTGACACACACTCGCAAGTCATTGTGGGAGGCTTGCACGCATTCATAGAGTTCGTTCGGCGCATGCCCGCAAAAGGTATTGATGACGTCAAATCTTTTATCCTTTTATCCTTCAAAAAAAAAGGGTAATCAAAATAAACAAATTAACAAAAATCAACGTTTCAGGGTCACGTGGAGGACTTGGTCGATCGCATGGTAATCGGCAGGCAACCACCGACAAAAACACAGAGGGCGACCCAAGGCAACGTACAGTCGACGTCCGCAGCGCTGCCATCACCGCCACCACCACAACTATCACAGCAACGCGAAGATCAGACACTTTCACCCCGATCAGCACCCAAAAATTGCATTTTTTGCGGTAAAAGCCACAAGCCTACATACTGTAAGACTTATCCGACATCAGTGGCACGGAAGGGACGCATCGCAGAGCTCAGTAGATGCGAGCGATGCTTGGGTCCAGCCACACACAAAACGACCTCTTGTCGTACCAGAAGCATATGTTTTTTCTGCCAGGACGCAAAGAGGCTATCAGAGATGACTAAACACCATTCCTTTTTCTGCCATTTCAGGTTTAACAAGTGAAACAGCAAGGAAAAGGAGACCAAGCAGAATACTTCGATTTGTTTAGCTGTATTTGTCACTGATATGCACAGACCTTTCCAAAACCATGTACAATAGTAGAGCACTAACTGCAAAAACTCCAAAAAGAAATGACGCAGCACACACTGCAATGACCACAACATGAAATGTACACAGCTCAAATTGGAAAAGTACCAAAGCAATTACGCATTTGCAAAATTTAAAATTGTATCAAAAGTATCAAAAAAGGGGAGACAAGAGAAGTCCAGAATAAGACTTATAAGTAACTAACGCAAGAATGACTTAATCCATTTGTTCAACGTGATATGAAGTGCATTTTGTTCGTGTAACGATAAATAAAACATTTTCACTTTTTTTCTAAGTCTACAGAAAAGGAAAAAGAACAAACACACACCCATAAAAAATCAGAGTACTGACGTACTAAAATACTGACGTGTACTTATTCAAAAGGTTTTCTGCCAGGCTGAGAGTCTCTTTCGTCTGCACAGTTCGACAGCACGCGTGATGTCGGATTGGCCGAAGTGAGCGTTTAAACCGGGACAAAGTTACGGATTTGGCGTCTTCAATACGCACTACTTCATAGTTGAAGAGGCAACTGTAGCGTGCAAGCTTTTTTACATGAAGTGCGAGTGCAAACTCCAGTGTTAATTTACCATCCTCGGAAGTCTTTCGGTCCAAGTGAGCGTTCGAAGCGGGGTCGAATCGTACCATTTGCAAATGCCATATAAAGTGTCGTAATGTCCACGATTCAAGAAAGGCAGAGCCGCAGTCAAAGGTATAAGGGGAAACGACAAACGAACGATCGGAGCTCGTGATATTTTTGTCTTGCAGAGTAGTTATTCTTTGCCTTGCAGAATATTTTGTAAAATAGACGTCATCCGTCTAGCCACCTCGGCGCAATGCGTGTTAGTGCACACAATTTTGAAAACCCGGATGAGGCGCTGAGGTCTTGCCCGTGTCGGCTCACATCAAGTTGCACAGTACGGCTAAAGTTTGACGCCAACCGTTTGTTTTTCGTATTTTGATGCTTTTTTTGTTCTTAATATTACGGAAGGACAATGCTGCTAGTCCTAATACTAATAATTCATTCCACTTCAGAGAGTAATTATATTATAGCTTTAAACCCCAACTGGATTGCACTAAACTAAAAACAACACAAAAAATATTTTTCATACAAGATCTGCGTCAAAACAATAAATACAACATGGGATGTTCAGGGAAGTCAATGAAAGATGATACGGAAGATGTTGGGCAAGGATGGTATTCAACAGAAAGCGATAATAATAAATGAATTAGAATGTCGTTAAAAAAGTTTCGGGGCATTTGCGGAGATTTTTTTCAAATCGATGTAACTTCAAGCAGATTGGTCTTTTTTAACGCCACAACCCATTATCTAGGCATAGCGATCCTGCATAAGCGGCGTCTACTGCGAAAGAGTTGCAGTCGGAGGGTTCGACAACTTGTAATTTCTAAGCGCAAATCGCAAAACTTGAGTTCAGCTGCAAGTTAAAAGTTAACGGGGCCTTATTTAGATCACCCATAATTTGCACGATATTCTTTGAAATGCGCAGAATAATGGCAGTTGAAAGAAAAAATTTCAAAATTTCTATGGTTAAAAAGACTTCCTTTCTTAATGTGCAGATCAGACAAGATTTGACATAGATATCAAAGACGATTGAGAAAAGTTAAGGCTTCCCTCTATGGCGTAGATAAAAACTTGGTTTCAAAGCCGACCGAGCGCCAAAAATTACGCCAGAAAATGAAATTTCCTAAAGTGCCCTGGAACTTTCTTTACAACCAAACAATATCATTTTCATTGAAATGTAAAGGCAGCACTATTGTGAAATAGGTATAATAAGATAAGGTAATCAATAGGCTACAAACCCCTTAAACATATTGCATAACATACATCGAAACCTTGCCTTGTATAGACGGATTTTCGGCTTTTTCGAGGCACCGTAAAAGGTCAGACTATGGCACTAGCTCTCCACAGCATGTGCGTATCTCTTCAAGAATGGTCCAAGCGGAAACCAGCAATACGACTCACACCTGGCAGTAAACACAAAATATTCCAACACTAAGTCATGCGGGTTTGAATTTTCACCTGAAGGAGAAGCCTAATCAAGAAAAGAGTTGAAACGACGCGGAAAAAAACGGAAACACGAAACGAAAACGGTCAACTCAACATGAAAGACCACAAAAGCAGTTTTGCAATTGATACAGTGCGAAATCAGCTCAAATGCAATGGCTCGGCAGGTCAACAACAGGAAATTCATCGTTCATGTCTGCCTTGGGTGAGCTAAGTCTAAAACTGTGCTTTCCAGCTTTTAAAGATATTAATAACTCGCTTTTCTGGACGTGGAAGCTGCGGTTTGCTGAAAGAGGTGCTGAAACCAATAATCCAACTACCAGCGAGATGCGTGGGATGTCTCCACGCATCCGGATATCGCGAGCCAATCGCTTTTTAGAAGGCGGACTCCCGCACAGACAGCACTTTCACGTCCGGAATAGCGAGTATCAGACATTTTTATAACCTGCAAGGTACAATTTTGGACTCAGCTTATCCAGGGGGATCGAGAACGATTGAAACTTCAAAGTCGTTAATCTGTCGAGCCACTGCCTTTAACGACGTCACCAATTTAGCTGCGTATGCCCACATCGGCTCCAACTCCGGAAAGTTCCGGAACTTGCCACGATGCGTGCAGTGCAATATTCGATGCGTGGAGTGCAGAATTTATATCCACGGCAGCGGTTTTCGACTATTGTGACGTCATTTCGAAGCGACCGCCTTGGCCCCTCCTTTTATAGTCGCTTCAATGGTTCAAAGTTTCCGCGGAATGCCCGAGAGATTGCATGAACAACTGTTTCTCAAGCGCAAAGCTGATAGCTGCTATCTAAAACAGAACTTGGCCTTGTTAGTAGTGATAAGCATTTAGTTTTGCCTTGTTCCTTATTGCTTCTGTTG